TTCCTGATGACCATGATACCAAAACGGATGTCACACCTCCAATCAGGTACGGGGGACAGGTTAGCAAAAGCGTTATTATGGTACTGAAACCAAGTGACTTAACGGCTGTCGGTAAGTAATTCTTGAAGTTGTTAGCTGAGAGGTGAAGATTACCCATGAGAGCGAAGACCCAGGTGCGATAATCAGTGACAGCTTCCCAGAGGCCAGACCATGTGCTGGTCCCCTGTCGCTTTTCAGTCGTATCCTTTGCAACGCGAGAATGAGCTAACTCGCGCTCTTCTCGGGTAAGCCACCAAGTTTGGAGTGGAGCATTGGGCAACACGAAGAAAGCTACCACGGCAATACCAACTGGATGATGTCATTAGCCTCAAGGCTCAAGAATTATCGGAAATCCTTGAAACGCAGTCTTACTTGTGATAACACCTTGTATCAAGAACAACCATCTCCACCCGGCCAAGCCGTGCCGTCCATCTAGACCGGCATAGACGCCAGCGGCGATCAGACCAGAGAATGAGCTTGCAAGCAAATTGCCTGTGTAAAATACTGCCAGTCGTGTTGCAACCTCTTTGCGCGTATAAAACAAGCTGACAAGGTAGCAGGCGCCTGAGTAAAACGGTGCTTCAGTAAGACCAAGCACCAACCTGTCAATCAAGGTCCATCGTCAGTCTTTAGCTTCTGGGATCAAGCGCTCCTGACTGACCTGCACGCAAGCATTCCGTGATAGTCCTTGACAACACAAATGAGAGTCGACACGATAGCCCATGCCATCATCCAGCCTGACATGTAATATGCGGGCTTGATGCGTGTCACCAGCATGTTGGACGGAATCTGCCCTGTGATATAGCTTGCTTCACGTGTCAGCTATATCTCCACATCGCCACATTAAGTCCAAGTCTCTTGTGATCCTGTAACTGACCCAACAAAAAAAATGCTGACGCAGGTATTGTACTCAGATCCCTTCAGGTTGAGGTCTTTGTCGAGGTTATTGAGCTTGCCATTGACGATAGCGTTACGGTCGAGGAAGTTTAGGAAGTACATCAACCATAGCATAGGCTATGGGAAGACCTCGATGTCAGTCTTGCGTTTATCTGGGGCTAAGAAAATTGCGATCGATGAGTGATTATGGTTCGCTTACCATGAGATAGCTATCCAGTTTCCGAACGAGTGCAATTTCTTTGGGATCGACTTTGGCGACTGACCCAAACTTGTCGGCCTGTCCTGTAACAAGACCGTCTTTAGGCTTTTCTTGGTAGTCTACATGGCCGGCATGTGCCTCTTGGTCTTTGGTGTTCTCCATGGCCGTAGACTGTGGGTTTGGAGACTTCGGGGGCTTTGGGAGCTGATGAATCTAGAGTGATTTCAGTCGAGGGTGGAAATCCTCACTTGAGGCATGGTCTGGTCATTAACATCCCTTTTAAACAATTCCGGGACCATATCTTCAAATCTTATAAGATGCGGAAGAGACTTTCTCGAGACCGGATATCAACGAGGAATAGTTGCTTGTTTCATGGTCGATCACGGCCAACTTGTTGCAGAATCCACCAATAAACATGCGTTGTTTGACATAACCGATCAGGGAGATTCATCTGGCAGCTTGTTCGCCGCCACGTTGAAGTTCCCCGGAGTAAGTGTTCACCACATCAAAATCTGGGGTGCAGTGGTGCTAGCTTAGCTTCCCTGTGGGGTACTTCGGACAAGCAGCGTGCGCAAGACCTCAATCCAGGCCGGTGAATTGATGGTGGGGTAATGCTTACGACGTTTGGCGCTATGATCTCCATCTGCAGCCGCCGGAGAAGATCCGTCTATAACCGGGACTGATGAGCTTGGATCCGTACTTATCCATGAATTTCCTTTGCCGTGGGGGTTGCTGATAGGATCAACACAATGCGTCTAAAGCCGTGGGACCGTTCATAATTTCTCAAGATGTAAGAGACAGTGAGTGTATGTGTGAAGAATTCTCCAAGTCAAGCAGGTGCAGCAACACTTGTACCAGGCTTTTGAGCAATCCGTAGCAAAGGTCAGAAAAGGTATGATGACTGGATGCAGATCCAAGACTCTACCGTAATATCAAGGAATGATGCTTTCGTAGGAATGAAAGAACTGGAACTACTATCTACGAGTCTGATAGACGCTGCTACTGAAGGCAAGGAGGATGACGAGAATAAGATCTTCTTAGGCTTACAGTATAATGCCATTCAAGCCACTCCGCCGAAGAGCCGCTCCTACTCCAATGATTGGCTGAGTAATTCCTGGGAACACGACAAGAGCATACCTAGCTGATGCCCACCCCCCATTGCGAAACCACCAGCAAAGTTTCCATCTACAGCCATCTGTGGAAGTAAGATGTCTACAGTTGACATCATACTTTCGATGGAAATCTGGACTTGGTCGGGATCCCCCTTACAGAAAATGTGAAGGGCCATGGACATGATTGATGGCCTTATTCTCCCCAAAGCCCCTGCCGGCAAGAGACGCTTTAGAGCACCCGGCGCCCGGCATACGTAGCTCAGTACCTATGCACCTTGCCTCTACGGCTCGCGGTGGAGACGGGACGGAATTGCTACACGGATAATGTATCCAATGCCGATTAGGTGGGGGACCACCGGGGCCGGCGTTTACAAAACGCTTGCGCATAAATTCGGCTTCATGTCGAACCTGGACGACTTTCTTTCCTATCGCCTGGTCGAATCTCAACTTGAAAGACATCCAGGTTTTGATTGATGAGTCCACATCCTGGCATTTTCTCACGATGGCAACTCAGACAACGGCAACGACAGTCAGCCAACTCAAGGTCTCTGGCCAGGACCGCCCTTTCTTCACGCTGGATGAACTCATCAAGAGGCGTGCACTCGAACTCGATAATGCCCCGTTACTTGGGTACCCTAACGAGGGCCTACTAGATTTCGAAGAGCACAGCGCTCGCGCCGTGGACCGATATGTCGACGCCGCTGTGCAGAAACTACAGCAGTTGGGGCTATCTTGCGTTGTAAGCCACACTATCACTCAACTTTCGCGGTCAATCTTCTACTAACTTCTTGCTCCTCATAAGGACTCCCAGTCCGACAACGTTCCTGTAATAGGAATCCTCGCTCACTCTGGTCTGCATGTCGTCATCACCATTATGGCTCTCAGCAGGTTAGGTTACGCAGTGTTTCTTCTCTCCACAAGACTTCAGAGCCCGGGAATCGCCCGCCTTTGTGAGTTGGCGGACTGCGGCGCCATGCTCACCACATCAACTTTCCACTCTGTCCTAGCCGAAGTCCAGCTGAAACGGAAGCTGGATATTTTACCGTTGCTATCACACTCTGACTACTACGGCAAAGATGCGCCCGTGTTCTCTAGGGCCTATGATCCGGAGCGAGAATCGAAGAAGATTGCCGCCATCATCCACTCCTCCGGTTCGACAGGCCTTCCAAAGCCTATCTATTTAACTCACAAGAGCTGCATCGGGGCCTTTTCCGTTCATATGAACATGCGAGCCTTCATCGTTTCCCCCTTATTCCACAGCCACGGATTCTATGAAACCTTTCGCTCGATATACTCGAAGAAACCTATTTACTATTGCAACTACAGCCTGCCTTTGACGAGGCAAAGCCTTATCCAGATGATCAACTGTGTCAAGCCTGAGATCTTCCACGTCGTTCCTTACATCGTAAAGCTACTAGCCGAAACAGACGAGGGCATCCGCGCTTTGGCAAGCGTGAAGCTCGTTCTCTTCGGGGGTAGCAGCTGTCCAGACGACCTCGGTGACCGGCTGGTCAATAATGGGGTCTACCTCGTCGGCAACTACGGATCGTAAGACCACTTCCTCAGCTCTCTCGGCTCCCCAGCCGTGTCGGCACTAGCGCTAACGAGTTCAAGAACCGAAGTGGGCAGATTGATGAATTCTGTCCGGCAGCCAGGCGATAAAGCCTGGAACTACCTTCGTCCCCTTCCCTCCGCGAAGCCCTACGTTTTGATGGATGAAATCTCATCGGGGATCTACGAGTGCGTCTGCCTCGACGGCATCCCTTCAAAGTCGACCTCGAACTCGAACTCCCCGCCAAATTCATTCCGCACCCGTGATCTCTTCGTGAAACATCCCACACAGCCGGACTGGTGGAAATACGTCAGCAGGCTCGACGACAGATTCACACTGATCAATGGCGAAAAGGTGCTTCCTATTCCCATCGAAGGGCGAATTCGCCAAGAAGAGATTGTCAAGGAAGCCATCGTCTTTGGTGAGCAGAGAAGTTACCCCGGGGCTCTAATCGTCAAGGCAGATAATGCCGCAAACCTATCTGATATGGAGTACATCGAAGCGATCTGGCCGGCAGTCGAAGCTGCTAATGCGAAAGCCGAGTCATTCTCGCGCATACCGCGAGAGCTCATTATTGTGCTTCCATCAGAAACACAATACCCCCGTACTGACAAGGGGACCTTTATTCGAGTTCCGTTCTATCAACAATTCAATCAGGATATACAGATCGCTTACGATAGGTATGAGAATGAGGATGAAGGGGGTACGCTGGCCCTGGAGGGTCAAGAGCTGGAAACCTGGCTCTTGCAGCAACTCAGGATTCAGTTGGGCGTCAACTTACCCTCCATCGACGCAGACTTCTTCGCTTCTGGCGTAGATAGCCTTCACTGCATCCAGATGTGGAGTCTCATCAAGAGGGAAATTGATTTGGGCGGTCGACAAAGCCAACTGGGTCAGAACGTTCTCTATGAAACTGGAAACATCCGAGAGCTCTCCGAGTACCTCGTTGCTTTGAGAGACGGCCAAGCTAAAGCGACCCAAGATGAGCTACAGAACATGGAAAGTTTGGTAGCCAAGTACTCCTCCTTCACAGCTCACGTCGCTGGCGCGGCCCCGAGACCTGAGAAGCACCTCGTGGTAAGTGACCCCAACCTCGTCGCTACCTCAAGGCGCCAACTAATCTTGACTTCACAGTTCCTCACAGGGGTGACAGGTGGCTTAGGAGCTCACCTTCTCGGTCAGCTCGCCGCTCTCCCAACCGTATCCTCAGTCTGGGCAGCCGTGCGCGGCCCCGACGACGCCGCTGCATCATCTCGCATCGCGACCTCACTTACTTGGCGCGACATATCTCTTACTCCCCTCCAGCAATCCAAAATCGTGCCGATTTCATGCGATCTAGGCCTCCCAGACTTCGGCCTCGGCCCCGCCCGCCTCGCCGACCTGAAATCGAGGCTCACAATTGTAATCCACAGCGCCTGGGCCGTAAACTTCAACATCTCTGTACAGAGCTTCGAAGACCAGCATATTAAGGCAGTTCATAACCTGATCGAATTGTGCCAGTCCGTCGAGACGCCTAACCCCGCACGTTTCTTCTTCTGCTCGTCAGTGTCCGCGTCGAGTGGGTCACCTAGACCCGGGAAAGTGCCGGAGGGTCCGGTCTCGACGCCGGCGTGGGCTCAGGGAACGGGATACGCGAGGTCAAAGTGGGTGTCCGAGCATCTCACGCGAAATGCGAACCTGAGTGCCGGTGCGCCTGCAAGAGTTCTGAGGATCGGACAGCTTGTTGGTGACAGTAAGGTCGGCGAGTGGAATACGACAGAGGGTATCCCGTTAATGATCCGAACGGCTGTTACGCTAGGCTCCCTACCGAATCTAGACGAGGTGAGTTTTACATGAGAAGCCTAGAACGTGCGACCAAGCTAATGAGGCGATAGGAAATGACTTGGTTGCCGGTCGATCATGCTGCGACGGCCATCTTGGAACTCGTCAATGCCTACACAACCCGGCAGCCCAGCGAGCGCGATAACGATCCCGACCTGGTGTACCACATCCTCAACCCGACGCGCTTCCACTGGACTCATGATATGCTCCCTTCTTTGGCCAAAGCCGGTCTGCAGTTTGAGAGTCTACCGACAGCTCAGTGGATGGACAAGTTGCGGAAGTCTGAACGGGACCCGAAAAAGAACCCGCCCATCAAGCTCCTAGACTGGTTCGAGAGTAAGTATGGACGCACGGCTTCTGCGAATAAGGGCGTTTTAGCATACATGACTGAGAAAACCGAGAACGACAGTCCTACGTTGAGAGGACTGTCGGACGTCACCGACGTAGAATTTATCACGACGTTGGTGAAGAGGTTGAAGGCTCGATGGGCAGCGGAAGGTGCGTGAGGGAGATTGAAGTGGATCAATACTTTTACCCTCTCTTGGAGAGCACCTCCAAATCCTGGACAAGTTGATTTGCCGTAGTTTGCGACCGGATCACCATTGCAGCCCGTGACACGCCGATAGCATCTCCCATTTTGACTCGACCGGACTTGGAAATTTCCAAGATGAACATAACGGTATTTCTCTTCATACTTGACAAACTCGTTGAAGCGCGAAAAGAATGAATGCCACTGCGCAGTTGGCCCCGGTCCATGTCATCACCGAATGTGCCATTCCTGAGAATAGACACATTTTATCAGACATACCCATTGAGCCAGATGGAACCTGAATCTAACGTACTATGTCGCTTGCCATCACGAAGCCCGAAATGCCATTCTAAAAAGTCCCTGAAGCAAAACCGTAGTCCCTACAATGCGCCGTTTCCCTAGAGTATTCATGCTGGTATCTTCAAAGTCCATCTATGCAATATTTTACAAAGCAGCGGCAGCGAGGGCGACGGCGCCGAGCATGCCGTAGTATGCGTTCGTCGGCCGTGCGGCGGCGGCGGGTGTCGCGGTGGCAGATGTGGCACTGCTAGCGGTAGCGGCCGCGGTGCCGAGGGCGCCGGTTACGAGGTTCGATGCCGATGCGAGGTCGGATGCGGCAGGGTTGCTCTCAACTTCTGAGCAGATTGACGGTGCGATCTTTGCCGCCGCTGTAAGAGATTTGTCAGTCATCTATAGATTTGATCGACGGAACACCGGTGACGACTGGAAGTCACACAAGGTTGGATGTGCAACATACCAGCGATCTCTGTTGTGGAGCAGCCAGCAGTGAGCACGCAAGGCGTCAGGCTGGAGATGAGCTTGTCCTGGCTGGCGCACAAGCAGGTGAAGTCTGTCGCGGAGCAGCCAATATCGCTGGCGGCGGTGCTGAGGCAACCGACGGCGCAGCTGGGGAGTTGGGCGATGAGGCTAGCCAGACCGGTTGAGCTGGAGGATGCGGCGGAGGTGGTGGCCGACTGGGCGGCGGCGAGACCGGAGAGGAGTCCGAAGGCAATGGTGTACTTCATGATGCCGGTATTGAGTTGATTTTCGTTGGATACTGTTTGCGATGTCGATCGAGTGATGGGCGAGATCTTTGGTGGTTGATCAGAGCTTTAGACGATGATCAGATTGTTTGTTCGAGGAATCGAGACCGATGCTTGATCAGAGTGAGAGACGCAATGAAGAGCAATTAGAGACCTGGAGAGAAAAGTGGCGCTTTCCAATATTGCTGATGCAGGTATTAATCCGTCCGTTGAAGATCAAGGGGTGAATGAGGAGACAAAGATTGGCATATGGAATCGATAGGAAAAGACAATTGATTTAATATACTAGAAACGAGCACCTCTAGAGATTGAGGAGCCACAAGGGAGGTCCAGACTCAAATCTTAACACAACCAAGAACCGAACGACGCTGCCCAGCAAAATACGAGACGTGCGCCCAGGGGCAAAGGAGAAGGATTCAATACGACGGGTCGCTGCTGCTGGGCTCGAGTTTGGTACGCCCTCAGTACGAATAGTCAATCTTGGAGCCCTTGGCTAAGATTGAAGCTGTTTGGCTGTGTGCGATCAGCGGAGTTTACCAAGCGACTAAGAAAGCTCCGGTTTTCTTGCAACACTGCCTCGATGCCGCGCGGTCCATCCTTGGCGGCAGTGAACAGCGTGTTTGTTCTATGGAGTAGCGCTGGCGATGGCCAGTTGCAGATTGATGGCGGGATAATGCGCGGCAGACTAGTTGGTCAGCTTCGTACGTGCTATGCTCTATTGACGATGCCGTTGTACGAATAGGCGCTCAACGCCTAACGCTCCACGAGCGAGACCGAGCAAGACATCAAGGTTTTGAAGGCGTCGAGGGCGTAAGCTTTCTTGAGAGTTCGGATGAGGCTTCATGTGACGATTCAATGTTTTCTATTCGGATGATGAGATGTCATCCAAACGCAGGCTGCAGTCCAAACCTAGATCTCTGGGTTCTAGATGCGCGTTAGAACACCCCGTCTGTTCACCCAGGTCACTGCTCGACCCGCGGGAACCGGGACGAACAGAGTGTGGCAGGAAAAGAAAGGGGCTTCACTGCATATCTTGTCCCGTTTCAACGTGATGTCATTCTTATTTTAGCGGTTCACCCCTGACATGACTCCGCCGAATTGCTGCTTGGCAAGGGGCCCCTAGACAGTCAAACGCTGGCTAACTCCAGTGAAAGCAGTGAAGCACTGACAGTCTGTCGCTCACTTGAGTTTCGACTGAGGGCTGTTCATTGTCATCCCAGGCTCACTCAAATGATAAATCTCGCCCACCGGGTAGCCAATCTCGTTCAATCTCACTCAAGCTGAGAGATTCGGGCAGTGTTTGATTGGTATGACACACCTAGTGAACTCCTTGTCAGCTGTCGTCTCAAGCGAAGGAACACAAGCTTTGGCGTATGTCGGCAGTCTTCAGATGGCAGTGCATCCCTGATCTTTGTTTGAGAAAGGCTCACCCTGTATTGTCCGTGGGTGCACGCTCTGCTACTCTGTACATTGCGGCGCGGAGGCATCCGATTGTCTCACTCGGAAGAGTCGGCGGATGTCACGGTTGAAGCAGCTGGTTCTCTTACGATGATTCGTTTTCGCATGCATGACAGTCCATGAGATGAACAGCGTAGGAGGAAGCTTCGTGTCTGGTGGCCAAATCTCGCACTCCAGCCAGGCACTTCGAAACACTCAAGCAGCAAGACTTCAGCGGCAACATCCTTCTAGGTACATTGACGGAATGGTGCCATCCCGCTGCTTCGGACACCAGCACCGCACTCGGTTTCACGGCCGGCAGAGTCCGGAGCAGGCCCAGTGCATCGCGAATAGTAGATCCCGGCTATTCGCAAACGAGTACCATTGGGTCTCAGAACGTCCGTCGTCGTCAGCTGGCTGCTAAGATACTTCCATCTCACGCTATTCTTCTTCTGGTCACTCAATAACTCATTCAACTAGGCAATGGCTCTCACGCTCCACCAATTCGAATAGCCAGACTCCCGCTCAAGGCTCAGTGAATTACTCTCCTTACACATAGCTTTCCTTGACATTGCCCATCGACCCCGTTCAACTTGAAGCTCGGGCCAAGCCGGTTCAAACCTATAAGCTGGCCAAGGTTGTCTCAGTGGATGGAGGCAGTGCAGCCAAGCTAGACTTGATGTCATTTCGCCTATGCATTCCCGACCGAATTCCAGCGTCTTTCGGTCATTGACCTCAGGTGAGAGTATGTGTAGTAAAATGAAGGCTTCACCTGAGTTAGATATCGGTAACTTGTTTCATGATATCAATGTCCACCCTGAGTATTGTTAGTTTACATGTTTTATTCATAATCAGGTGCCTGGTATCGCTGGTATCGGTCTTAAGTATGAGAATAGCCGACTGAAGTAATAGCCAGCTTTCTGACGGCGATTGACGAGGCAGTACGGCTAAGCTACGACGGAAGCCAGGTCCTTCATGTGAAGCATATGGCTGACTCAACCACTAAATGTTTGTAAGCGTCAGAAGAAGCCGATCGGCAAAATATGGCGGTGCCGATGGTCAAACTTTCACGGTGCCGAGCTCTTCGGCCGCAGCGCCGGTCTTCAGAACCCGCTCCGGCGGATCCAGTAGTAATCGAAGACCGCCGGCATTGAAAGGCTGGCCGTCGTGTTTGGACCATAACGGCGACTCACAGTGGGGACTGAAATTTTCAGCCGAACATCTCCCTTATATCCTATTACATCTTTAAAGGACGAAGTTTCCTTCAAAAACCTTTCTCAACAAGCACTCTCGCCTCACACGACGAAGGCATCATGCTAGGAACAGAATTCGACCCACCTATCAGCGGCATAACGCCATCGTCTCACCATCTTGTTTGGGAAGAGCTCTCACTCGTTGTTAACAATGTCAATCTTGATATTTCTACGGTTCGCCATGACGGGTCACTGGATCCCATCCTCTTCCTCCACGGCTTTGGAAGTACCAAATAAGACTTCACAGATATAACCCATCACACCCCCGTTCCGAGTACTCTATCATCGCCTATTACGCCCCCGGCAGCGGTGCCTCCACAAGCTCTGACTACAACGTTTTCCCCATGCCATTCCTCGTCGCCGTGGCTGAGGCAGTCTTAGACGCTCACAAGACTAAACGGTTCCACCTTGTCGGCCACTCCATGCGCGGCTTGACAGGCTTGCTGCTAGCACAGCGTAACCCGGGGGCGGTACTGAACTTTGTCGACATCAAGGGCAATCTCGCTCCAGAGGACTGCTTTCTTAGCAGACAGATCTTTGACATTGTTCACCGTGGAGGAGATTGATACACCGATACTTGAGAAAGACTCGGGCGATTACTCCCATGATCCGTTTGTCGGGTGGCGGGAGTTTTGCTTATGGGAGCAAGATGTCCCCTGTCCGGATGGAATTCATTTGAAAGCACGTGAAGCCATTAAGAAAACAAAGTCATCCGTCATGGTCAAGCCAAAGCTCTCGGAGGGGGAGCTTCTAATCAGACCTGGCCTTACCATCGGCGCCGTTGACTTCGTTTGTCCGCGGACCGCGGGTCTCTACGACATGAAGCCACTTCGTTGGTGGCAAACTCACAAGATGGAGGTTCAATTCATCAACAATGACTACCTAGTCCTAGATTTGGACTCTACCATGGCCTTTGAGAACAAGTATGATGACTCACGGATACCTTGGTCATCAACTGTCAAGCCTATATACCGCTTTTACGGAGTCTGATGGACTGAGAAACGTGGTAAAGACTGGGCATGGGATGAGGGATAGGAAACGATCACCGTCGCCCAGGGAGACATATTTTGAGCTCAATCATCCAATGGGGGCACATTACAATTCTCGGTACTCTCAATGGGGCATGTAATCAACTCTTTCGATCGAACACTAGCGCCTAGAATTTCCCTATGACAGTGGCATTACGTGCCGTTGAGGTAAGCCTCAGTATGACCTCTTCTCCGTTCCACTCCGTCGCGACACCATCGACAGTGACGTTCTTCAGCTGGGCTCCCTCCGGAACCCGCAGCTTAACCCATACTTCAGCTGGAGGCGCCCTGGTGAAGCCTAGCACCGTAGTGATGGTACCCGCCTTCTCGTCCGACTGCATATCGAGGTCGACCAGGCCCCATTTGGTCGGAGCCCTCTGGATTGCGACCTTACCCTTGCTAAGCCATTTTCTCGGAACGCCTCGTCCAACAAGCAAAGCCTCCTTGTCGGGGTGATCGAATAACAACGCTGCCCTGAGCAAGACGGGAACTGTAAACTGCGAAGGCTGGCAGTATGTGCTGGAACCACCTCCAGTTCCGGCAACTTCAGCCGCAAGCCATAGGCCCCTGTTATAGACGTGGTATCTATGAGAGTACAGGAAGAGAACAAACTCGTCAAGGCGGTCCTGGAGAAGCAGCGACAATGCGTAGCCGTAAGAAATGAAGCCTAGAATGTCGCGGGTGTCGGCTCTGAGAGGCGTCACGTTGGCGACCACACCCACGCTGGTGATTCCGTAAGCGCGCATGGAGTCAATCACCATGTCGGTATGATTCGATGAGAGCACTGATGCCTGAAGGAGTTCCGAGTAGACGCGGTGTGGCCACCACTGAGAGGACGCATCCCCCTTTTCGGCCAAGTCCTCGAGAACATGTGTCGTCTCATTCGGCAGGACAGGAACGTAAGCAGGCGTGAAGTTCCTCTGAATCCATTGGTCCAGCTTTAGGGATGTCTGGTTAATGAGCTGTTCAGCTCGAGCGTTCCAGTCGTTGGCATGGTCAGCAAACGTCTCGATCTTGCTAAGGTCCTTCAGACCGCGAGCAGCGAACGCCGCGTTGTTCCAGTATGGCTTCTCAAATCGCCAGGCATCATTTCTCAGTGCAGCATCAGACTCGCTCCAGCCAGAGATGAGGCCGTAGTACGGATCATCTTTGGGGAGCTTCAAGTTCTCGTCTTGCCGGGTTGTGAGCATGTTGGCCCAGGCAAGGATCTTTGTTTTGTACTTTTCGGGAAACGCAGTGTCACCCGTGTACTGCACATAGCGCGCAATCAGAGAAAGTGACATGCCGAACTGGGGCACAGCAGGTCCACGCATCTTGATGGCTCCGTTGTCGTAGGTATACCAGTCCATGTAGTTCTCAAGGATGGCCTTGGCCTGAGTAAACCGTCCCCAGGCCAAGTTGGCTGTGAGAGACATGGTCATGATGTCTTGGAAGCCGTCGTACTCTGATCCGCCGTAGTCGCGTTCAAAGGCACCGTACCTTGGAGTGACACCTCCAGCGCGATTAACAAGCTCCATACCAAAAGCATGTTTTCCCATATCAGACCAACTCATGTCTGGCAGAGTCAAAGAAATCTCGTCCTTGACATGTGAGTCCCAGTAGTCCGCGAATCGCATCAGAGCAGGGTAATAGTCATCGGCGGTGGGATGCGCCTTCAACGGCAAAAACTGCTTGTAATCCAATGCGTACTTCTGTGCACGTAGGACCCCGCCCTTGACATACTTGATGGAGAACCAAATGTGAACAATATCGGGATCTGGAGAATCAACGTCGGCGAAGGTAGTGATATCAACCCAGTCGGTTGTGTCGACAAGACCGCGGTAAATCTTTCGAGAAGCAGGCATCCATCCGTTAAGCAGGCCATCGAAAGTGTAGTTCGAGTGAGTTCCGTCCGCGGCCTCCGACATGTCATTCCAAGGGGCGTAGTTCTTTGTCATGGACTGCCAGTCAAGTGCCATGGTGTCGTTTGCCTGGACGTTTCCGAGGTACACATCCCATGGCAGGAAGGACAAGTCGATGACATCGCGAACGTGTTCCTCAATCGGCTCGCCATCTTGGAGAAGACGCTCTGCCAACACATCATTCTGCTTGAGATTTACATCGTTTGCAGGATCCAACCCAAAGTAAGCGTCTACTGTCCGGTTGATAGATACGGACTCGTCCGTGGAGGCTTCAACGTATCGCTTGATCTCTCTACGTGTCCCAGAAGCTGACACCAGGACCAGCGGGCCGTCGAATCGAGTGATGTCTTCGTACGCTGTCCATGTTTCCCCCTTGTAAGTGAAGGTGTCGATGGATGTTAGTCCATCGACGGTCTTTTCTTGTCGAGGATTTAGATGATCCGTAGTGCTGCTGCCGGTAAACCCAATGTAGGCATCGCTCGACAATTGTGACACCTCATGATACGGTTTTGGGTGTTTGACTGGACTTCTCCCGGCCAGAGAGGTTAAAATGAATGAAGAAAAAACGAGTGACTTGATAAAAGAGTAACGAGGCATGATTGCAGCTTTTGCCCAAAGGACACTTAAGATCCCCATCACAACCTGGCCTGCAATTCAAGCAAGATCGTCGCGACTTGGGGGTCTTCATTGATTTATACGACACAGTAGTCATCGACTACTATGAGAGCCGGGAGTATCACGGGCACTTCGTACGGAAGCTGCCACAATTACACCGAGTCAGGGAGATGCGCTAGGAAACGTTAATTGACATTATGCCGCTTTACCGGGGAGAAGTCACCTTCTCTTTCGGCTTTTGTGAGGACACGAACTAAAATCTCCCCATCCCAAAATTGAAGGAAATGAGGCAAGGGGTTTCGAGAACTCTCTTATATTGGATAAGGTCTTACTTCGTGAGAGCTAGCCGGTGCAAGAAGGTGAAAGCTTCTTTGCTCCCGAAAACCAAAACTTACCGCGCGCTCTGTAGCTCCAGGCCCCTTTGAAGCTTCACAGCTTCCAAAACGCTATTTCTAATTTCTCTAATTCTCTGGACTTGGCAATTCTCTCCACGCACGCTACTTACCATACTCAATGAATCCACAGGAGATGATATTCTTTCCCGCAAGTTCCGGGTAAGATGGAAAGGGGCCAAGATATTAGAGTTGACAGGGATACCCCGTGGGCTCAGACTATGTGACTGCTATTTAGCGCAGAAACGCCCCCTTTGGTGGAGTTCATTGACCGCGTTGCAATTAGTGTCGGTAGCTCATAGCAGTGAAGGGCTCGGAGGGCCTCCGATGTTCAGGGCCTACACTGCAGGCGGCATTCCGTCCGCACCTGTGGATGAAGTTCTTGGTCGCTATCGATCCGACAACTGACATCGATGAGATTGAAGAAGAAGTTGACGATTACTTGTGGAAATAAACTTGAACTAATTTGAAGTCACCCTCTCCTATGTTCAAACGCAAGTCCAAGACTTTCGACAACCGCACTACGTCAGCAATGTGGTCGTAACTGAGACACAAGGGTCAGCTTTTATATGCATATCCAGCGACGGGATGGCAGTTCATCAAGCTGGGATTGCTAAATCCACTACCACTGATGATTACAGCCAAACTCTTATGATGCTTATTCAAAGGTAAAAGTGGCTAGCAATGCTCATCTGAAAACATCGAGTTCGTGGTATTATACAGCGCTTCGAGCAACTCTACAGCTTTTTGCCACTAATTGTACATCCAAGGACAACCGCTTCCGTCCATACTCTCGAAACCCGTTCCATCCTGAAGCCAATCCTGCCCCAAAAACATACAATCATTGCCGCTTTGGTCCAGCGACAGCTGTTCGTGGAATTCAACATCAGGTGGCATCTCAAATACAGACTTTGTGGCTGGCTGTTGGCCCTTTTTCATATCCATAAACTCCCCAAGCTCCTCCAATGGAGAGAAATCAATATCGAGAAAACCAGATACGCCCGGCCGAATCGCACATCCAGAGCTCATCGTGTTCCCAATCTCTTGCGCCGCCCTGTTCGTCTCAGCGGCCCTCTTCTCGGCCTCTTTCGCCGACCTCCATTTATCGATCAAGCCTTCCAGCTCGGTGCCGGCCTTGTGCGCCACGGGGTACGACTTTCCAAGCTCGGACAATGCTTCGGTGGAGCTCTGGAGGAGGGCCTCGTGGTTTCCTGGTTGTGCTGCGCGGAGATTGAGGAGATGGATGCTACCCGCGATGAAGATGAAGTGAACGACTGATGGCGGCATCTGCCTCATGTTGAAAGACCGCCTGTAGGTGGTTGCGAGCTTCGTAATGTTTGCTGCTGCTGTGGCGCATGCGTGTGTAGAGTTCAGGGGCGACGAGCTCATGTCGTCGATGTCAAGAAGCTTTGAAGAGAATCGGAGGAATGGTCGGTGGAGCAGAATGAGAGCGAAGTAAAAGTTCATCCTGCGTGTTTCATTAGCTACAAATCCCTCAGCTAGGCTGGATATATAAGGAACTTACTGTAAGATGAAGACATGGGGCTGTGCCAAGACGTTTGAGTCAATGGACCATGTCAAGCTCTTAGGAAGATCGTGATGCCACTGCCATAGGGCTCTGTGAAGTTGAGATGCCTTCAATCGCATCTCACCTGTCGATGAATGGCGCCTTTGACGGTGAATACTAATCAGTATCTTAGAACACAGCACTGACAGCGTCGAGGTGTGATGTAAAAGTAATGAAGTTGATTCAGCGTCTTCTTTGTCAACACTTATTACGTGTCGTTCAGGTATAGGAATGGAGATGTCCCACTCCATGAACGAATTTGGCCGCCCACAATAAGCGCTGAAGAGACTGATTACGCTCAAAGGTTAGCCAATACTATCGGAGATCATACATATTCCTCTGATACACTTACTTGTCTTCAATATGGCAGCCCCAAAATACTCTCCTCCTGAGTTCGGCCATCTCCTGACTCATCTTGCCAGACGCAATAGCTTTGGAACAGTCCAGATGCAGACCCAGTTTACTTGCCATCCTGAAAGCAATACCTATGGCAAAAGAAACTTATTAGCAGCTGAAACTTGTCGATGGTTGGAAAAACAGTCTTACCGCTGTACATCCAACCAAGAGAGTTGTCCTTCATGGCCCCATAGCGAGAACCAAGTATTAATGCCGCCTGGACAGTGGAGATGGTCGGGTGGTCCATTTCGAGATCGAACATTGAGCGCGCTCGCTTCGCAAAAGTCTCTCCGGCAACACCGCCGGTAGAAGTAGAGTACCGCACAACTCCCTTATCAAGACTAATCATTGATGCCAGGGCCATGATTGCGTACAGCAGACATGGGGTGTAGTGGTTTCGATCCCCGTGGTGTCCCTCACTCTCATCCCACATTTCTCTGTGGCGCAGGAATAAAGCACGGTCAACGACAAGAAGATGAGATGATTGCCATTTCCAGAAGAGGTCTAGTAAGTGGGAAACAATGGGCTCTGGCTCGGGAAAGCTTTCGAGGGCACCGCGGGCTTGTTGGCTTGAGTCGTCCTCAAAGGAGTGGCCTTCCCCGCGTGGACTCCTTGAGCGGGTCTGGTTCTCAGAGTACGGGAATAGGGTGGAAGAGCCCAGGAATTGGTCAAAGTCATGCATGCTATCGGGTGTACCCATCTCCTCCATGACAGGAGGGAAGCCCTCGGAGACACAGTCAAACTCTGGTCTGCTTGGCCCTGAAAAGGAGATGGATCGAATGCCATTGTGCGTGATATCGTCGGTCTTCGGTCTGTTTTGGCCCGAGAAGGAGACAGATCGAGAGTGTGAGACGGGGTGAAGGTCCTGATGCGACGTCACAGCCCAATTGCTTTGTGCTCCCTCCGGAGGGGAGATAGATATCGTCATGTCCCGAGTCCCCGGACTTGAAGAGCTGGCAGGACTCGGAAAGGCACGTGTCCTTGCATCCTGATAGTTGTCGACAATCCGCCGTGCTTGTTCCATCAGACAATCCGAGTCGTCATCCGCCTTATGCCGCGAAGGCGGCAGCTCTGGGTTCTTGTTGGTACTCTCGGACCGGGAAACGTTCTTAACGAACTCCTCTAATGCCTGCATTCGCCGTTGCAATGCCTTTGTCTCGTTTGGCTGGCGTTGGCTACGCTTATCCTCGCCGTACCGGACCTCGCACTTTTCGTTCTTGTTCCGACATGAAGTGCAGGACCGGTCCAGTCGGTCCCCCGAGCTCAAAATCTGAGAGATGTCGCATCGTCTCTTGTCCTTCTTGCATCGTACGCATGCGAAACTCGCGCGGCTCGCGTGTCGGTCTCGGGTCATGATTGGAGTTGTCGGAAGTTTTCAAACTGCGATTGCTCTCTTCCTTCTCCAGTCAGCGTGTGGGATGTGTGTGCGTGTAGAAGAAATTGGAAGATTTGGATCTCGTGGGGGGAGGGCGGTCACGATGAGCAACAAAGTATGGTACGTGGGGGGTTAATGGGCCCAGAAAAAAAGTGCAACACACGACGACTAACTTTGTTTTGTTGGTCACGATCTGCTATTCTAAGATCAGAAACGGCGAGCATAAAGAGCCCCGGCATTACCCATCTCGGATTAGGACCCTTCGTCCCAGCACAAATCGCAACACACCCCCCCAGGTAAGGATGATGGTAAGCGTGCCTATCTTCCCTTGTCATTGGAGAAGGTCGGCCAATTGTCGTCAACCAACAGCATTGGCACTGCAATGAGGTACGTGGAAGGCGAGGACTGTTTCTCGGCAGCTACCAGTGCGGCACGAACACCGGACATCAGTGACCAAACGCCGGGCAGTCCGGTTAATCGTGAGATGAGGGGGAGGCAAACGGCAGAAGTTGACAGACTCCCAGGGGTTCGACTTGTAAGACATCCTTGTGGAGTGTTTGGCTCTTTCAGTTCCCGTCTTGTCAGTTGTTAGCCCTGGTTGATATGTACGCAAGGACTTCTCATGGCTCCGATCTCGGCATGATCGCTCGTACAAATTCCATTATTGAGGGAATCGAATCTGAGATGCGTGTATCAGTCTATCCAAACTCCCCGTGTCAGCATTGAACTATCCGTTTGCAAAGACTCACGGTGAGCAGAACGTCGTTAGGTCCATCAACAGGAGCCTCAAGTCCCCAAAAAACCTTGCCCCCGCGAACCCCCAGACTCCGCAAGTTGGACCCCCTTGAACTCAAAAAGGATTGACCCGGCCAACCCGCCACTCTGATCACGTCTGTGCCCCGGGCCTCGGATTGCCCAAATAGGTAACCCGGCGCATACGATTTCCCCGGGACCCTCAAGCGCCCCCATAGTTCCGGGTCTAGTCTCATCCAACAACAAAACATCCGTGACGTTGAGGTTGGTAAGTCCCAGTTTTCCTTCCAATATCCAAAAGTCTGGACCTCAGGAGATCAGGACCGCATGACCACGTCAAGGAACAAGCCAAGAGCTCAAGCTACCCGGGAAGCTCGAACAGCTTGAGCCTTGAAGCCTCGAACGGCACCCCAAGAAATCCGGCCGCTGGAACACATATGCGGGGCAGGTCCCGCAAGATGTGTTCATGTGTACAGCTTTCCTTCCCGGGGGTAAAAACACAGACGGTGGGAGTGTGTCATAACTAATACGAAGCCTGCGGAAATGTGGCAATCATCCACGTTCCTACGGCTTCCCCCTTCCCGGAAGAATGCCCCGGATGTGAGCCGCAGCCAATGCAAACGATGCGGAGACGTGGCAAAACTTTTCCGCAATCCTGGGGAAAGGGGTCCTGCTGATGTTGCATCTTTTGAGAAAGCCGAGCCGCCGACCCTTAGAACCCCGGTTTCCATGGCCTGCCTTAGGGAAATTGGCGTGTGTTCGGGAGCGGAGCCTCCGCCGAGCCGAGTTCCCGAACCGAAGTCATCCGGTCAACACGGACGAGGGCAGTGCCACTGCCATCGTGAGGTGGTCTTTGGGCAGGTTGGGCAATGGTCTGGTGGGACCACAATCATAGTCAATTAGTTCGTACGGAATTGCCTTGAGACTGCCATATTGTCGGTGATCCAAGTGAGAACAAGTCTTGCTGGACGTTGCCTCAACCCACGGGAGTGATGCTATTTGGAAGTTACATGCTGAGCTCGATGCTAACAAGGCGACCCAGTCAAAGGATGACTCTGCCGGAGATCAAAGGGGAATGTGGTGAGCGTGCTCGAATAAGGACCGAGTCACCTCTTGAGTCACAAAAGCCTTCTTGACTACTCGTCAACTCTTGAAACCATTAAACACTTCTCGGCTACATCAAATTTCACTTCGTCGGCCTGTTCCAGCTTGGCTGCTAGGCCCCTGCTGCCTCGATTGGTAGATCTGATCTGCCACAAGGACCTGACAGCTTGACAGCTTGATGGCATATGCTGCTCCCCTGTCTTTTCCGGCAACTCGGGCGACCTTCAGGAACCGTCAGTCTGATCCCGACAGCGTGGGTGGTCGCCGGCAGATGAGAGAGCTAAGCTTCTGGGCAACGCCTTAGTCTGCCATGTGTAAAGTGCTTGCATCTCACTCGAACCCCTGGCATCTCTGGTCAATTGACGAATCAAGCGTCGAGATGAAATAGTCAACTCGGCATGATGCTGTCATACAAGCGCCGAGGCTGCTCATGGATGATAGTGTCAGGGGTAGGGGGTTACGGGTCGCGAATTGCAGCTTTCTGCTTCATCAAGAGCTGGCTTCGGCAAGACAGAGTACTGCCGTGGCCTTAAATGTGAGGTTCTTAAGTGACGATTTTCGTGGCGTTTGTAGTTGGTAACTTGGTGTATGGCGCATCTGTTTGATTGTTCCGGGCCAGCTAAGGAGTTGCAACTAGCAACTTGCAGAGCTCCATACTCACTCAAATAGTCGTGAGGCCTAGCCTTTTGATATGTCATGTTTAGGTGTCTCCTTATGGAACCAATATGAAGTCATAAATCACCGTTCTAAGGAAGACCGTCAGTTATAAATCAAGTATACCAGTGTTTAACAGCGGTAACTTGAGGTGAATGCTTAAATGAGGCTTCACGATGTTGAAGTTGTCTATACATAGACACATTTGGCGAATTTTCATGAGACGCTTTGGAACGACGACTCGCGGAGCTACTAGAGAGATAGCACGAATTTGGAGTTGAGTGATTTCAGTAAATTCAAATCTAACGCTAAATTATGTAGGAAAATGAAAGAGCAGCCATATGAGCTCGAGCTACTCAAGCCATGCCGGATTGCAAGCCCTTGATTGCAACCATCGCACCCCAGGCACCAGGGTCAGGGTGGAACGACGTATCCTTTCCAGATGCCGCAACATATGTAGCGCGACCTAGCTTCGCCTTGGTCTTTCTGGTGTACTCGGCCCCCTCGACCGCTGCCTCGACCGCTCCCTCGAAGCCCTTGTTGCGAATCGCATCGACAAAGGGGATCAGCGTGTCCAAGATCGTCCGGTCTCCGATCTTAGCGGGTGTATAGTGGCTCAGGTGTTCCAGAGCAGATGTGAGCGCCAGTGTCCACAGAGGCAAGATACCTTGCGACTTTGCCAGCGACGCATTCTCTTCTACAGAGTTGCTAAGCGAAACGAAGAAGATACCGAGGATACCCCCAAGCGTGCCACCCATCTTGCTCTCAACAATATCCTCTAGCTCGTGAAGAACTGAGACGATCGATCCTTCCGCTGCGATGTACTTGTTGTCTAGAGCATCAAGAAGATGCGACGCGCCCGTCTTGAGTGTCTCACCGCAGTCGCCGTCACCCATCACCATGTCCCACTTTGTCAAGTCGGGCTCGGCTTCGATAACCGCCAGGCAAGCCTTGTTTAGCATAGACTTGAGCGTTGCCGGGTCCATCCTGACGTCGCGGTCTGCTTCGATCTTCTTTGGCTCCTCGGGAGGCGACTGTACAAATTGGAGTTTCCTGTCACGGCGGACAGCTTGAGCGCCGGCCATCGACTCCCAGTGCGTGTTGGTCTTGAGGTCAGCGAATTGGAAGATTTGCTCTGCTGAGAAGCTGCATTTCTTCGATGCCGCTGTGATGTTCATCAGGGAAATTGAGAATGCAGGTGCGTTGAGAGAGGTTTCGAGAGGACCGGAGTACACTCTCGCTGGCTTAATGTTCCACTTTGCGTCAAGCTGCTCAAGGAGCTCGTCGACCAAAGCGCCCATTTCCAGGTAGGAGATGCCTCCAAAGTTGCTGACGAGAAGGATTGTCTCGTCGTCGTTTTTGAACTTGACATACGCCCGGTCGTGATCCTCTTGGTCCAAGCAGTACCGCAGCAGCTCATCAATCAGACCCTCTGCAGACGGCGCAGGCGAGACCTTGCTATATCCAGGCTCATTGTGAGGCCCAGTGCCAACCTCCACCTCGTCAGCGCCCAGACGAGCGTGCTCTGTGCGCCCTGGCACGTGGCAGTGATCCATGGTGGCCGCGATGGACACAATCTCGGACTCGACAGAAACACCGAGCTGATGGATGTCGTCGAGAGTGCCGGCCTTGACGCCAGCCGCTCCGCTAATGACTTTGAGAACACCAATCTGCCCGGCAAGACCTCTGCGTCCCACCAAGCTACCGCCAGCCTTTCCAACAGACACATCGTCGCCGCAGATGATCATGCGGCAGTTGTGCCCGCGACTCCGTGCCTTTTCGGCAGCGAGGCCAAAGTGAAGGCAGTCGCCGGTGTAGTTTGTGATGACGAGGATAGTGCCGACGGCTGAAGGCACACGCTCAATGGCAGACTGAATTTGCTTCGCGGACGGGCTGGCAAAGATATCTCCGGACACGGAAGCCGCCAACATGTTGTTGCCGACATAACCTGCCCAGGCGGGCTCGTGACCGGAGCCACCGCCAGAAATGATGCTGATTTTGGACTTGTCGTATGTTGAGTCAAAGACCACACGGTTTGACTGATCCAGACCAAGGGAAGGGTTGTATGAGATGAAACCTCTGAGAGACTTATCAACGAGTCCCTCTGAGGAGGTGAAGATGTGACGATCGGACATGGCTCGTGATGGTGCTTCTATCTGTAAGTGTAGGATTATTGGGTGTCGATGGAGCTCATAAAACAAGTTGCAAGACTGATCAGAATGCGCTTCCTCTGATGTCGAAGTTCAATTTGACTCTGGATTTTCCTACAGATGAGTTCATTCTGTCGCTGAACGGTCGATATCATATGTGGTGCAGTCGGTTGATGGTGTGCGATTTTCCGGGGACCCAGTAAATCGGCCGTAGGTGCGTTTCGACCCCGGATTTCCGCTGCGGAAGATCGGCTACGGGGGGAGCCATTCGCGACAAATCACACCCACACCGATGCACATGACGGTCTCTACGCTTTATAAGTATTGTAAGTCGTGGTTACGCCCTTTGGTACTTCCTGATGCTCATCTCCCTACATCCGAAACCCCAGATAACCCTCCATTTCCAAATCCCCTCATCCAGCTTCACCACCCCACATCATAAAAGACCATCAAGATGGGCAGCAACCCCGTTTCCAAGTACCGCATTGTCGTCGGATGTGACGTAAGTCATCAAACTCGCCTTCATTTTTATAAGTCCAGACTGACACATGAACAGGAGGCTGGCATCAAGTACAAGGACACAATCAAGGCAGACTTTGAAAAGGACGCTCGCGTCGAGTTCGTCGAGGATGTCGGAAGCCATGACGGCGCAGACAAGACGGCGTACCCTCACAGAGCCGCGGCCGCCGCTCAAATGGTAGCCGACGGCAAGGCCGACCGCGCGCTGCTCATCTGCGGCACGGGACTCGGCATGGCCATCGCCGCCAACAAGATCAAGGGCATACGCGCTGTGACGGCACACGACAGCTTCAGCGTCGAGCGTTCAATTCTCAGCAACGATGCCCAAGTGCTGTGTATGGGTGAGAGAGTCATTGGTTTGGAACTTGCGAGGCGGCTTGCAAAGGACTGGCTTGGATACACATTCGACCCTACGAGCAACAGTGCTGAAAAGGTCCACGTCATCAAGAGTCTGGAGGCCACTGCATGAAGCAGGTAGGCAGTTGCATTCCATTTCAACAACGATTAATAAAAGCGTTCATTTCATTCATTGTCTATCCTGAACCTCGGCGTTCGCGATGATATGCTGAGTTCTTGAGTGGATATCTGATTTGCCCTGTGCTCTTATCTCACACCCCAAGTCGTTGAGATTTCGCAATCACGCCATCATCTATCCAGACTTGGTAGAACGATAGAACATGCTAGTTCATCTCACACGCCTTGGCGAGCAGCGGCTGAGGCTACATACAGAACCTGGCAGACTGATCCAGAACCGTGGTATGGAGTGACAGATTCGAGGCCAGAGTAAAACCCTGCCTAGTGCTTAATGATAGAAAAGTACTTAAGACTGCATGAACACCCACCTTCCTGATTTCGTTTACTTTCACTTAATTTTTTCATTCTCACAAGGGTGACCAGTGAGGCGACGCAAAGCCCGCGGCAAGCTCGATTAGCATTGTGACTCTAAGAGCAGCAGTAAGTGGATGATACTAGGTGAGCTGGTTGATTATTTACGGGATAACCCACAACTCCTTGACTCCAATCTCCAGGCAATTAATCTCTATTCACACTACATTTCTCGCTCTTTCAATTCTTGTTTCATTTTTCCTCTGCGTCAAGATGGACCTCATCATTCCTTGCTTCCCCGCGTTTTGTACTTGGTGGGGCAGAGTTCAAGTGAGCTTGGTTGGATTTCCTAGCGGAAGTTTGGCCGTATATATCACTAACGATGGACGGAGAAACATCGTACTTCCCGATTCCGTGATTGATAACTTCACCGCCGTTTGATGCCATCGGACAACCGGGAAGTTTGACGACACGATGAGGAAGATTGCCGCAAAAATGGGTCGAGTGACCGGCCGCAAGCCCCTCCTGGCGGGGTACGGTCCCGATTTTCCGCACTATTTGAAGTGCATGGCCCGGACGCTGCGTTTCTTCACATGCGACTCAACAACCCGTGAAGCACCAAGCCCTCCATCGAACCAGAAGCCGCCCAGACAACATTGCACGGAGCAGTGCCATACCCTCAAGATGACTGCACCACCGAACCGGAGGCTTATCGGCCTTTCGACAAAGATGTACTTCCCGCTCCAGCGCACGCTCGACTTCATTATCACAGTTCAGACACAACTAGCCGCTCTGTCTTCGTCTCTGGAAGACGTCGACATCTTCATCATTCCCGATTTCATCTCCATCCACCCCGTCAGCGAAGCCCTTAAGTCTACATCTGTGCCAATCCGGCTGGGCGCACAAGACTGCCACTGGGATGATTTTGGAGCCTTCACCGGAGAAGTTAGCCCGGTTGTCCTACGTGAGACAGGCGTCTCCATCGTCGAGGTCGGGCATGCGGAAAGAAGGAGAATATTTGGCGAGACCGATGAGGTCGTGGCCAAGAAAGCCGCCGCGGCGAGCAGGAACGGGATGGCGCCTTTGATTTGCATCGGCGAAAAGACAAAGGGAGACTTGAGCATCGCACTGGGAGAGTGTCAAGTCCAGATTGATCAGTCCCTGGCGGACGTGCCTGAGTCTGCGGAAGTTATCATCGCGTATGAGCCTGTCTGGGCGATTGGCGCAAGCGAGCCGGCTAGCGAGGGCCACGTTATTGGGGTGGTCAAGGGGATTAGGGCATTTGAGAGCGTTAAGAGGAGAACGGGCACGACTAGAGTCATTTATGGCGGCAGTGCTGGGCCGGGCTTGTTCGAGAAGCTGGGCGAGGCCGTCGACGGCCTGTTTCTTGGGCGGTTTGGACATGATGTGCCAAGATTCCTCACCACTGTATCGGAAGTGGCTTCTTTCAAGGCTTAGACGCACTCATCTCAAAAGCTATAGACCTGTGGTAGACATTGTGAATGCCCATTCTGGTTTTCGCTAGACGTGGCGAACTTCATTTTTACATGTCTTGGGTTTTCGGAATGCTTTACTTTGACTCTTGTATCGCTTATAATTCGGCAGATTCTCTTCGCGCTTCCGAACCTCCAAGCGCCCCTAGGAGCCCCTCGTTTCTCGATGGCCAGACATTGCCGACGTTGGGCAAAGCCCGAAGAGTGTCCATATTGTGGTTCCCGGTCTCGATGACTACCCCAGAGAAGATCGCATGATCAAATATCTTCACTACTTTGGTTCTTTCATCCGCTGTCAACGTGTTGATGAGAGCTTCTCTATCTTCATCCTGTGGGGCGAGCATCAGCGCATCCCGCGGGGCACAGACAGTTGAGTCGATGGTAAGAACACACCTTGCTGCTGCCAAACTCGACGATGAACTTCTCACCCATTGCAGAGACTATACATGCGATCAAAGTTGCAATGATGTATGGTCGCATTGATCAAGAGCGATATCGAAATACGTTTGGAGACAGTGCTGTCGTTATGGTGAAGTTGATTTGTCTAGTGACGTGGTAGAAGGCGCCTGTGATTACGTGCTCACAGGCGCAACAATCACCTTCCTAAAAGGGGTTTCTCGCATCAATTCGCCCTCCCGTCTGTAAATCTTGCAGCGAACTACATCACGACCCAATTACACTATTAAAATGTTTGTGAAAATCGTTTCTATCCACCACTAAACGTAGGGAAAGCCAAAGCCCAGATGTCTACACATTTGCCCCCTTCGCTTGCAAACCTGATGAACTACTAAGGTCCAACAGCCGTTTAGCTCTGCGTGGCTCAGTGGGGTTCTCAGCAGGTATCATCCCCTGTTAGCAAGACATCCGTAGTAATTCAAGGAATAGATCTCACCATCATTAGTTTGAAGTAAACGTTCCCTCTCGCCGATGTTGTCTGTCTTTCATCCTCATCAGTTGTGAGATGGCCCCCAAAAATGCCTTAACCGAGGGCGCTTGTCCTGACTGCCTTAACAATTCATGGCCGACATCGCAAGCCTGCGCGCCCTTCGGGATGCCCCACGTCATTAGTACATGTAGAAACTATTACTCATGCCAGAAAAAGGCACCCAAGCTGAACTTCATCGGAGCTATTCAGGCCTGCAGTTGGAGTTGCATCTGCATCGTATGTAAATACGAATACACATTGGATTGGTAATCAAGCCTATAAAAATCCCAAAATATCTCTTTACACTTACGTTTAGCCAAATCTTCCAACTTGCATGTCTTTCCAGACCTAGTCGGTGTTCACCATGTCGTACAGCGAGGAGCAAATTGATCGGTACCTCAACCACATCAACTACCCGCGGGAGAAACATGCATCGGATCGGCTGCAGCTCTTGAAGGAACTCCAGGCTCATCAACTTGCCCGAGTTCCCTTCGAGAGTTTGACCCTGCACTATTCAAAGCACCGCCTGATTTCCATTGATCTTGAGGATCTCTTCGACAAGGTTGTAGTCCAGGGTAAAGGCGGTTATTGCATGGAGCTCAACGCCTTATTCGGTGCTGTCCTCAAGGGACTCGGCTTTAGTCTCGTCAGCGTCGGTGCAAAGATCAAGGGAGATGAGAGGTTCGGCGGATGGTAGGCATTTGTGGGAACCCCAATAACAACTTGTTGCTGACCTCGGACAGGTCCCATATGCTCAACATCGTCACGATCGACGCTCAGCGCTACCTAGTCGACGTCGGGTTCGGCAAAGGAGCAACCATGATCCCCGTGCCCTTGGAAAAAGAGACCGGCCACGAGTTCACCACCATCGCTCCCCTGCGAGGCAAGCTTGTTTACCAAAAGTTAGACCAGAACACGGATTCGAGCCAGCGTATGTGGGTGTACTCTTCGACCGACACCGCCGACGGCCCCTTCCGAGAGCGCAACTGCTTCACAGAGCAAGAGTTCTTCCCTGAGGACTTTGAAGTCATGAACTATGCCGTCATGATGAGACCAACCAGCTACTTTGTCAAGACAGTCTTGTGCATGCGGACGATCCTGAATACTGAGACAAGAGAGGCCGAGGGTACTATTGTGCTGCACAAGGACGAGGTGAAGCGCAAGATTGGTGACAAAGTTGAGCTCTTGGAGACGTTGAATAACGAGGCTGAGCGCGTGCGGGCTATCGAGAAGTATTTTTACATCTCACTTACACCCGCAGAGCAGAGGGCTATCAAGGGAATGCCTCAGGAGTTGTTGGAGAAGAATTAGTAAAGAAATGTTGTGATATCTGCTGCATAACTTAGAACATAGAAAGAATCTTCATATTCTTCGTCCTCGACACATCACTGACCGTGAGTCTTGACTTTGGCTGCTCATTTTTCGAGCGGCCAACTGCTATGCCCACAACTAGCTGGTTCTGGCCCCTTGGGTTCTAGATACTGAAGACAAGTTCATTGCCCACACAGTTGGCTTGCGGTTCTCCTATGGAAGTTTCCAATCCTCCAGAAGTCGGCGTAAGGAACATGCCACCAGCAGCTTGCCAGTTTCAGTCCGTTTCATCCGCCGCCACATCAAAATCAAGGCTCTTTTTTTTTTTTTTTTTGGGTGACTTATGTGATGAGGACCTTCCTCCAGTACGTTCCCAGGTTCTTGGAATTGGAGTTGCTCCTCTTGACTTTGATCAGGTCCGCCAGTAACCTCGGAGATGGCACTCCCCGGTTCCACATACTTAATTATCTCGCAATATTGTCCTGAATACCAGGAGATGCCGTTCCGCGTGACCTTGATAGTCCCGAGTGCTGGAAATTTAAGCTGTAAGCACCGACTGCCACAAGCACCAACTGATTTGGCAGATGCGTTCCCCGGCGATCTACCCAAAGGGCTAGCAGCATCCGCTTCAATGTTAGATAAGGCTTCTAACATCGAAGCGGTCTGATTCAGCAGAGAGTCGCTGCTGGAAGTGTCTACTTCCAGCATTAGTTCGATGGCCTCCTCAACCAAAGCACGATCACTCGGTCTCTGATGGGCGAGAAAATCAACCGCATCAGAGCCACGATTACATCCCTCGATATATGCGATGAGCAAGCTGAGGCACGCTGTGAAGGCGGAGAAGTCGACGGCCCTAAAGCAGAACGCGATGTGATTCTTGCATTGAAACTTGATATAGCGACGTAGGAGCTCGCAGCTCGCATTTGAACACGCCGCTCTGCTGTACTCGTAATTTGGGCCGCAGTTGGATTGTAGCATGTAAGGAAGGTAGAGGAGGATCAATAGATTGAAGTGAGTGATCTCGAGTAATATTTGAAGGGTGACTTCAAGATTTCCCCTATCATTTTGCTTTGCAGTATGCTGCTTCAGTCGAGTGTTTGAAACTAGCCACCAATCGGCAGGCATACGCTGAGCAGCCACCTACAGCATTTGGTCAACTTGTCGCGTGACCCCAAAGTCCCCAAGCTGAATTCTCTCGTTTCGAGCAGTGATGCGGCGCATTATCTGACTGTGACTACGCTCAAGATGGTCGTAGGGAGATTCCTCAGGGGTAAACTTGGTGTTTGCCGTACACGGGTTATCAAGAGTTGTAGCAGGTAGACCGAGCATGAGAGCCAAGTACCTCTCCTGGCTCGAAAGCCTATGCCACATGAGCGATGCTGAGGCTTTGGTTTGGGGATCGAGTATTATGAGTTTGTCCGGTTGATCATGATGCAGGCCCATTAGTTGGGCAAGACCGATAGCCCTTCGAAGCACCATCCAAGCGCGACGCAGCTTGCCCGCATTGGTGCAAAAGACAACCTCAAGAATCAAGCATTCCGGGCCTTCTTGTGCGCCCATGACTTCATCGTTCCCAGTCACGCAGGAGGCACCAGTAAGATGCTTCTGCATGGCATCTTTCGCGCAGCATCCGAGATCCAGTTGGTTTTATTGGGCGCAGAAGCAGGTAGATTCTGAAGACCATTGACGAGGTAAAGCAGCGTCTGGGCAAGAAGTACTGGGTGGCTTGAGGAACTGAGTATGGAAGACAAATCCGAGGCTGATCTATTTCGGCCTAGGAGTAGATCTTGGTAGGGTAATGTGAAGAACTGAAGGAAAGGCGCAGTGTAACCCGCCGAGATGATCGAATTTGCATCTTGTTGGGATGGGAGCAATGCATGAAGTGTACGAGACAACCCTGCAAACCTTCATCCATGCCTCTATTATCGTCGTCGAACTAGATTTACCGTCAGAAATCGTACCAGACACTAGAGGGGCCTAGACGTACCAGGATACTGTCAAAAACTTATATGCTCGGACAGGGTGTAGGAGCTAGCAGCCTTAATGGTGACCCCGGTTGCGTACATTCTGGCCTTAGAAGAGCTTGCTCGCTCGAGGGTCTCAAGCAGCCAGGTTCTGGAAAAGACGGTCTGCTCCCGGTGTGAGAAGACTGGCTACTTGGAGTCATCTGTTCGAGTAGCGCCACGGCCTTCCGTAACGTCTCCTCTGTTTCTTACTGTTTCCCAACCGCACGATCTTGTTCTATCGCATCGTCATCGGATTCCTGGGTCCGACAAGCGACGCCGCGGCGTTGACATCCAATACAGATGTCTTGAGATTGGTCCGAGTATTGACACTGAATCTTTCTTCGTTTGCCTAGCAACCATTGAACCGTTAGTGGAAATGCAATGGTCCAGTAAGCATGGGTACGCCATACACTCCCAGCAGCTTATTGTGCCCTTGCGAATTTTGCGTTTCTTGGGTGCATGCCCGTCGGCCATGAGCGACAGGGCGAGATCTTGTCTCAACATGGCCTAAGTGCGTGATATGGGGAAAGGTGGACAACGAAAGAACATGAAGAAGAGAGGCCAGGGAGGAACACGGGAAATGAGGAAACAACAGCAGTAACGACGCGCTGTCGACTCTCAGCTCCTGCCTCTATGGAAGACGCGGCAACGCGCCGTTCGCGGGGAGGATTCGAAACGCGAGTCACACGAAGTCACGTTTTTCTTGGCCCAATGGGCAAGCCCTCACTGGTCGGGGCAAGCGCCGAGCCCCGGACCGGGACTGTAGTCCCGGAAAAGTGCATCTCGGTGCAGTATCTCCCGTGTTGCGCCGGTGCCGCGCCGGTCAAAGCTTTGAAGGTATGCTTGAGCAAAATATGGCATCGCAGCCATTCAAAAGCTCAAACCCGCCTCACATCTCACTCAGGGGGTGTATGTATTAAGACCACACTCGCAGAGACAGCATAACTTGTGTTCACAGATCCGAAGATTTTTGATGCCCTCTCATAATGCCCAAACGTGCCGTTTAATCCAAAGCGCTTTCTCTTGCCATGCTATGACCCCAATGCCTTCTGCATATTCCAATACCTTCTTGTCTTATAATACGTAAACTGTTTGTTGGAGCGCATGTCTTCGGACAGGATGTGGTTGGCCGTGTTGAATCGTGTCAGGTCCGATGTGATGGGGTTGACGAAATCTCAAGGAGTATTTCCAGGCTAGCGCCTCAAATTTCCCAGGCGTCTTCCACCCATGGGCCTGGAGCTTATAGACACACCATTCGTTGGCAGGCACGCCGGCTCGATTGGTAAGATTCATTAAGGCCCAAAGCGCCGGCTCGACCGCAGACTGTTCGTTGAAGTTCAACTGCATTACGACGGTCGTGCCCGTCTCGAAGATGCTTGTATCATGTCTGGCAGCGTAGAACGGTCTCGACATGGACTCCACCCTGCTCATCTGCATGACACGATGGGAGGATGAAGGTTGTGATAGGGCAGCCGGATTGCCTTTGATTCTACAAAAAGTCTACTGTGGACCGGCCGATCCCCGATTCCGCAATACGGCAGATTATCTAACGAGCTGTGCCCGGTATGACCTGGATGGTATTGAAATACTTCAATTTCTTGCCAAATCATGGCATGCACGTTCCATGTCAATCCACAATGTATCTAGTCAATGAGTATCTAGTCTTACACAGGTGGCCTCCTTTGTGATAGTCACGACATGCGCTTATGCTCCCGCTACCACGGCCAGACCATCATAGATCATCCTCTTCACCTCGTAGAAAGTGCTGCGGTGCTGCATCATCGTCGCCGCATCCGCAATACCCACGCTCTCCACCTCCACCTTGCCCGTGCTCGTCTTCCGTACCGCCACCGCGCCGTTGATCACCAGCGTACCCTCGCCACGGAACTCGGCCGTGTATCCCGCTGACTGCATCGCTCGCCTCAGATCCGTGAGCCTCAAGTCGCCCACGTGTAGCGGTTGTGCGACCGAACGCACAGCAGATGCCATGTTTGAAGGCAACAAGTCCAGCGTCGGTACCACCTCGATCTCGATAGCCTCGTCTTCTCCCTCCTCCTCCTTCTTAACCTCCTCGCCTGCTTCGGCATCTTCGGTCTCTGTCTTCTGCCTCTTGTTGGCCCCGTCGTCCTTATCGATGAGCTTTTCCTTGGCCAAAGCCTCCGCAATGAGCTGACCTGTGACAGTCACGACGCCCAGGCCGCGAACGTTCTGCCACTTGAGCTTCTTTACCAGGCTGTCTGCCAGCTTCACCACCCATGCGTTGGTATCGACACTTGCGTCTACCCAGGCACCCATCGCTGGCGTATAGACATCGATCGCGCTCTCTTCAGACGCTCCAATCTGGGCGGCCAACAGTTTCTTGTAGTCTGCAGCGAGGGCTGTTGTCTCGTCCGCAGTACCACCAACCAAGATGAGTTTTCGCGGTTGGATCAATGGGATCAACATGTTCAAACTCCTCTTGTCGTGCAATCCACTGAAATCAACGAACGCGATGCGCAAGTTGACCATGACCTTCTCTGTTGATACGATCAACTTGGAAGGACCTTGGATTTCCTCCTCAATAACGTCCTCCACGTCGTCGAACTCGTCAGCAACATGGTCGCCTGGGCCGTTAGCGTCCAAGTCATCCGCAGAACCTGCTCTGTTGTTTTGGCGCTTGTTTGCTGCTTTGTTGTTGCCATCGTCCCACTTGCGCTTCTTTCCGAGTCGGTCGTCATCGTCATCTCTACGCAGAGCTTCGTTGTCCGGTGTATCTTCCTCCTTCTCCTCAGCACGCAGGTAGTCTTCGGGGCGGATCACGTCTCCGAACTGGTCGTCTCGTCTCCTCCGCATGACGAGAGGGAACGACCGTTCGCGGCCCTTCTTACCCCTCACATCGAAGTCATAAGCACCGCGCTTCTTCGTCAGAATGTTGATGCCGAGGTCCTCGTCCGTAAGGACAACCTTCTTGCGTGTTGCCTGGCCCATGGTTGTTGAGATGTTGAGGGCCTTGCCTTGCTGCTCATTGTCGGATTCGCCAGAGTCTGAAGAGGATTCAGATGAGACATCATCGGCAGCATCTGCAGGCGCTTGCAAGGAAGCCCCACCACTACTCTGGAGGGTAGCTTGCAGCTGGCGTTGAGTCGCGAGCCACTGCTGGTACACGTTGAGCTCTTCTCCCTCCAGCGCTTGCCTCTTGGCCTCCTGTACCTCCAACTCCCTGCCACCACCGTAGACAAGCTCGAGACTGTTACCGTTGCTTGACTCCTCCACCGAAACACCATCTCTCCGTTCAGTCCACCAATCCCAAAGGGTTCTGGCTATTGATGGCCTTGCGGTCTGTGACTTGGCTGGCTTATCTGTGAGGATGACCAAATTTCTAGAATCTTTTGCTAGGCCTTGGATCAAGTCTTTGGAGAAACCCCATTCCAGAGTATCGTCACTTGCGAGAATGACTCTTCCTTCTGCCTGGACATTGTCCGCGGAGCTCGAGAGAAGCTTCTCGATTTGTGCCCGGCGTTCAACGAGTTTCAGGTATCTGAAGTCGAAAGGGACCCCCTCCTTGCTCTTCCCTTCGGCACCATTTGGTCGGCGTTGCCCATCGGCCACCGATTCGAATTCCCTCACGATGTTGTCGTCCATCCACTCCAACATGCTTCGTGCGTATCGCAGGGTACTCGACATGTTTCGTCCAGCGAGGTACAGTTTTGCTGCCTTGAGACTGCCACCGTCCGTTTGCGAGTCTGTCCTCCACGCTTGTTCTAGCAGATATGCAATCTCCAAAACACGTGCGCTGGAGTCCACCGGGATAAGTGCCGTTCCTCCCCGGCTGACGCAGGTTTTGATCATGTCGACCAGCTGCTCGTCGCGTTTTGCGCGGCCGCCAGCTTGAGCAACCTTTTCTGCACCTCTACTACTACACACCAAAGCCGTCGGCTTACGGAGTTGTTCGATGACCTCAGCGCCGCCACCTCCAGCCCCACCTAGCCAGGCAGCTCCAGCGAAGACATTTTCCTTGGCCTGGTTCCAATCCACAGCGTAGACAATTGACTCTAGACCGTGCTGGATATGCCATATGGTTCCTCCGAGAGTGTGGCCTGCATTGTAGGCAGTAATCATGAGGCCATTGAGCGGCGGCGAGAAGGGAGACGGAAGGGGTTCGTGGGGTTGCGAGTACTTGAGAGGTTGGATTAGGGAAAAGTATCGAGTGATTTCCTCGGGGGACGGCGCTTGTAGGAGAAAGTCGCTGTCAGCCGTCGGTTGCTGAGAGAAGGAATATGCGGCCTCGGTCAGAGAGCCGTGGGGTATCTTTGTCGCGGCCAGAGGGGTAGAGGCGTAGAGGTCTTGGGTCAGGGTGCGACCTAGATCGATGACAGGTCGGGTAGCGTATACGGGGATTCTCGTGAACAAGGGGAAGTTCTTGCAGCAGTGGGCAAAAGCAGCCAAATGCGATGTCGTGGCGTGCGTCAAAAGGATGATGGACAGGGTCGGAACCTGTCTAGAGGAATGTCAGCGGTTGTCATGAAGCGCGCACCGAGCAGGAGGAAGGGTCGGTTACTTTTCAAGTTCCCGAAGCTTTTCAACATCAAATGACTCGTCCCAGCCAAGATCGATGAGAATCTTGACACCACCATCGAGCTCAAGTATCGACTGCGACGCTGTTGAATCGGAAAGGGCGCCCTGGAGAGGGCAAAAGGTAAACATGATTGGTATCTATTCAGCAGAACCGCAATGCATTGTTTGAAGATGAAAGTCTTGGGTTGATTTGACACGGAGTCGCTTCAAGGTCCAGGCGCGGGAGCATTAACCATAGCGCTTGCGCGCAGGTGTCAGACAAGAATGGGTTGTTGTCGTCGTTGTTGCAAGCGGAGCGAGTCGTGGGATTCCAGGTTCAACAGAGTGTGTCGCGTCAGAGAATCCAGGAACCAAAAAGTCCAAGGTTGCATGCGCTGGTTGCGTGCAAGCCTGCAAGGTGCTTAAGGTACGTACCGCTAAGCACCAGAGAAGAGCAGGGGCCAACTGAGGCCCGCCGCCGTCATAATAAAGTGGAAACTCGTACAGGCGTGGCATCGGAACGACGGCGATCTCTTTCCGTACCCGATTAGGACTAGATCACTTTGTCTCCGTCAAGTGGAACCAATGGAAGCCCGGCTCCGTGGGATCCAACGGACAGCTGCTGGAGGCTGAAGCTTCCGCATTGGCCAGGGTCGAAAAATATAAGGTCGGGTACGTATCCGTGAGGTACATGCCAAAAAAGACATCGGGCCTGGAAAAACAGGTCGGAAAGTTATCGTGTCAATTTGGCCCGGATCCCTGTTGATTCGTGCGTCTGGCCAGAGAGCATCGAAAGGGGACACAATTCAAGCTTGTCACTTTTCCAGAAGCTCGGCCTACCCTCGACTTTGCTGCCAAACATCACTTTTCCACGATCCTGCAGAGCATGGCGCGCTCTTGACTGCGTGCGCGCATTTCTATTCAATTCCTCTGCGAGTCCCGACCTTGATACCCGATTCTGACGGTGCACAACAGCTAGCTGGTCGTGCCTCAAAGACCTTAGCTACCTAGAAAGCTACGGTACCTTCTTTAGCCCGCATTTAATCCGACTCCCCACGAGCAATCGACCACGAGCTTCGATTCACGCAACCCTCCAACACACTCACCACCGCCTATTTCTGCAAACATGTCTGATTTCAGCACGTATCACCAGCTAGGCCAGGGCGAGCAAGACCCTTCGAACCCCAATCGATCGACACAGCCCGCACCTCCCCAATTCTCCCCTCCCATCGCGGGGCAGCAATACCAGCAGGGAA